TTTTTTTTTTTTTTTTAACATTAAAAACTTGTCAATAACTGAAGAATAGAATTTTTACTATAGATACAGGATTTAAAACCACTTACGACGAATCCTGTGTATAGAAGTGTAGAAGACCTGTATTTGGACGATAATATAATCGAATCGATCGTTCAATTAGAGGGATCCAGTTGGGTGGATCGTTTTCGATTGCTCAGTCTTCGTGGAAATAAATTAACAGATGTTCGTATTATATTCTTGACGATTGAGAGCATGTTACTGGAACAAAAATATTAGAGAATTTGCATCTAATTAGATACAATGAATTTAACATGATATAAGTAAATAAGCTTCTCTGTCATCATTTCAGTTGCCTACGTATGCTTTGCAAAATGCATTGCAGCACAATGGAAATGCAGTAAGTTTATATCTTGGAAAAAATCCATGGAGATGCGACTGCCTTTTTACACCAGGATTTCAGGTAAAAATTTTAAATCATCATAATAGATAAATATTTAAGAATTTTATAAATGTTGAAGCTCGGTTAATTTGCAGGAACTTCTCATTGGGTATACGAGTCTAATAAAAGATATTAACGATGTACGATGCTCGGCTACGAGTGGAGATGATATTTCTGATAGAATTGTAAGTTATTTAACTGCGCTGTTATGCTTCTTTTTAGATAGTATTTTATATAATTCAAACGTTTTCTCAAAGGTAAGGGATTTGAGACGTACTGAAATTTGCGTTTCTTCGGATGAAAATACTGTAATTCATCCCTTGGATATTCTAAACATTATTCTAGCAATTCTAATATTTTTAATAATTGGAAAATTGCTATACGACTACTGGTCTTTCAAGAAAACTGGCAAGCTGCCTTGGATCGTTGCTAAGATACCATGAACGAATAGGAAAATAAAGACTTCTAAGAGAGTTCCTAAGATATTGGAGAATTAAGGAAGCTTACTTTCAATCCTGCCTTCTGACCTTCACAATACTGATGATATAATTCGTCAGCAGCTGCTTTCTTTGCCACGCATTCTCTCACACCGCGACCTGTATTTATTAAAAAAAAAAAAAAAAAAGAAGAGAAGGATAAATAAGATGCAGAAAAAGATGTAAAATAAGCTGAAGAGAATAGTTATTTGAATTTTTAAATTAAACCTTCGGTGATGTAGCCTAATGCAGAACAAGTAGCGACGTAAGTCAAACCCTGATAAGTTTTTATTTTTTCCACAGAATACTTCGGAACTGGAATTTCTTTTTCAAGACAAAGCTGGTATAACTTTCTTTGAGCTGTTTCTCTTAGACCGTCCATGCCTAGGCTAATTATTTCTATCAGTCTATCAGATAAAATTTCAATCATTATTCAAGTGATAAATGAAATACTTATGAATTAGATTTTTACGTTACGTACTCTTCCTCGGCAAGATCGGCGAGTGTAGTGAGTTTTTCATCTTTCATTTGTTGATTTGCAATCATTTGCAAAATTTTCGAGGCCAAGTCGTTTTTGGTTGACTCTTCGGTTAAACCTCTACATGTCGCTGTTAATTAGCATAAAATGCTTTAAGTAGACACGAAGCGAAAATTTACGAATCGATCTTTTGTATTTTTTAACATTAATTGTATTGTCAAATTTTATATCAAATTATATTTTATGTATTATCAAAATTTTTATAGACATTATCGGCCTCATTTAAAAAGAATAATATTTGCGATGAAAGCGCAGACAAATTAGATGAAACGAAATGGATCTTAACAATTTTACGTATTGAATGAATTTATGAAATATTTGCGTAAGATATTACCAACAAATCCAGCGAAATTTCCACGTATTATATAGACGTTCGATTTATGACTATGTGAATAATCGCTCGTATACTCATACTCGACCGGTATTTTACAGCGTTTTGCATACATCTCTAGAATGCTTAATGGTGTTCGTGGATTACTAATTTTCGATGAACTCTCATCACCACTACCCTTTAATTGATTTTAAATTGTTCACTATATATAATTCTATGATAAATTGTACATATATGAAAAGGAAAACATAATTATATTTTACTTGAATTAAAACATTCATCGTATCATTTTTGGTATTGATCAATTTTTGACTTGTCATATTTCGATCAGAATTAATCTCCATGACGGAATCACCGACATCTACAGATATCTCTTGGCGATGTAGAATAATACAAGAATCTTCGTGTTCTAAAAAAATGTTAAACTTTGAAATCTGATATACAATAGAATTGTTTATTTAAAACCAGATTGAAAATATATAATGAAGTTACTGTTTATATTATGATTTTCCATTTTACTTCCTTCAAAATTGGCTCGCTTTTCAAACATATTAATTGTTTCTTTAACAGATTGTACCTCGGCTGGAATGAAGATAAACTCAGCGATATAAAAGAAATAATTTCATAACGATTATTAGTACCAGAATTTTTTTCCATAGCATTATCTGCTATTTTACCCCACTCTTCTAAACTATGTGCCTCTTTTATCAATTGGTTAGTATCTAAACGAGAATAATTACTAATCAATCAAATTTTCTGGAAAAAAAAAATATATATATATATATATATGTGTGTTAATCTTATGAATAAATAAAACTATGCAAACTTGTAATATTCAGAGAAGCAGATTTGTCATTAGAGAACTCCTGAGCAATGGAAGAGTTCATGAGTGAATCACTAAATTGACTTCCGGTGTTTTGTTCCCTAATAATCGAATTTTGATTTTGATCTAAATTCTCTTCGTCGATACTGCTTTCAGAAACTTGTATTTCAGCCACGTTCTTGCTTACATCACTTTCTTCTACAGTCTACGATGCACGTATATTTAATTACAAAAATTCAACTGTAATATTGGATTTCTGATACTTACATCATTTTCAGTAATCAACGATTCTCTAGCTGAAATCATTACAGTTGTATCTTCTGAATCTTGTGTGAAAAAAGAGGTAGATGTCTCTATAGAATGTAAAAAATTTTTCTTAATATTGAAAATATTAACATTTGACGTATATCTAAATGTATTATTTAAATAGATTTTTATAATATAATGAAAATTATTCATAGCTCTAAAAATGGCCATTGGTGGTTAATGAAAGATTTTTATACGGTCTACCAATTTCACGATAAGGTGCCCGCAATTGCTGAAGAAGATCTTCGGCTCGATCGATAACAGTTTCCATTTCGCATAAAAGCGGTGCGGCATTTGGAAATCTATCAGTTATCATGCTCCAGACAAACTCGGCATCCTCTGTACCTTGTAACGATTTTGGTAATTCATGCTTTTGACATGTAGAATCCCGGCGTTCAGACATTCGATAACACGAACTTTTAAATCTAACTTATTTACAAAATATTGAACTTCAATTCGTTTGCCAGACTGGCAATGAAGTCATGTATTTTATAAAGTTAAGTATATTGACTTCATTGACAGATTGACAAAATATTCAACAAATGACATAAGATTTGTAGAAACATTTACATTGTACCATGGAAACTTCACAACTAATGCTATTGATATTTCTAATATATAAAATCAGAATTCTTTAACAAATAATAAAAGATGCAAAATTTTTTAATGATCGAGTTAACAAGTAGTAAATAAAACATGATAAGTTTGGCGTGAAATTTTATTGATAATAAGATACCTCTTACCACTAAATTTAATACACATCACAATTGACTTGTTTGCAATGTGACAGTTAGGAATATATACAAAAAGCCATTGGAAATTCCTCGTTATATGGCGATACATCAAAAAATGTGTAGAATCCATTGAAGGTACATATGAAGACATCTTATTTTTCTAAATGCGAGTGGTTTTTTTTAAAGATAAGTGTACAGTTAAAATTACGTGCAACCAATGTACATATTGGTTAGATTAAGTAAATCATGTACAATTATTTAATTATACTTAAGCCGATCGTTAATTACATACATTTTTTTGTTTCGCTGTTTCACATTTTACAAGATTTTGGAATTTCGCTTATCCTTAAAACGATGTACATGTTAATTACAAGTAGTAATGATGTCACAAAAAAAAATTGATGTCTCTTAAAAACGAAAGCATGAAAAATTGGCTTCTTGAATGTATTTAATCGTAGACAAAAGAAGAGGAAACAAAAAAAAAAAGAAAAAAAAAAGAAAAAACTTCTCTCCTCCAATATTTTTCTTCCCAAGATAAAAGTCCTTTCTTCTCTTATTTCAAGTGTCCTTTAATCAGCTTTTTGCTTATTATTCTCTGGTGATTTGTCACCGTTCATTGGTGATCGAGAACGGCTATGGCTTTTGCTATGTTTGCTGCCCGATCGGGATCTTGATCTGTCGCCTCTTGACCTTTCGCGACTAGATCTATCTCTGGAAGAAGAGCTGAATTAAAGAAACGACTATACATTTGCCTTTCTTGCGCTAATTATATCAATCAAACTCACTTTGAGGGAGACTTGGCTTTGGATTTGGACTGCGACCTGGACTTTGACCTCTCAGCCTTGGACCTAGAACGAGATCTGGATTTGGACTTTGACTTAGATTTCGACTTTGAGCGGTCTCTTGATCTGCAAAATTATAGTTCAAATGAAGAGGATGCAGGAAAGTACAATTAAAAATATAAAACTTATTTCTCTTTCAAAATGGGATGATGTATATTTTGTGTAAACATGAGTAAGTCGTGAGAGGTTTTGGGAAAAACCAGCCCAAACACAATGCCAAAGAATGGAAGTGAAATACATATGAAACGCAAATACACTTACGTAACATACACTTATTGATAATTGCGCAAGAAATAAAGCAAATAAATAAACGCTTTAAGAACAGAAAGTGACATAATACAAATACTAAAAATAATCGGATACTTACTTGGATTTAGATCGGGTTCGGCTACGTTCGGGAGATTTAGATTTGGACTTTGATTTTGATTTAGTATGTGCCCTTGATTTGGAACGACTGCTGCGACGACTACGGCTGCGAGAGCTACGGCGACTCCTGATACAAATAAAAATATTGCAATGTATGTTTAAAATATAGCATTCAAAATTTATGTGATTATTTCAGTAACTGTCATCATATCAATTGCAAATGTTCTAATTCTAGATGAATTGTATCATGCACGAGACGAGAACTGAACCATACTTAATGTATGATCAAACATTAAAAAGAGTAAAATAATTTGAGAGTTCAACCATGAAATATATAGAGTAAACTTTTGTGATCAACATTAGAAGTCTAGTATGCTACAAATATGGTTAGTATTAAAGTAAAAAATGATGGAGACATTGCCGCCCCCCGACAGTACCTTGATCGGGATCGAGAACGACGATAATACCTTGAGCGGGAGCGGGATCGGCGACGAGATCGAGATCGTGACCGTGACCGTGATCTCGAACTCGAGGATCTTGAGCGACGACCACGTCTCTTATCTTCAATGAGTCTGATTCTACGTCCATTCAATTCTGTGTCATCTAATTTATCGATGGCGTTTTTCAAATCAGAGTATGTTGCAAATTCTACAACTCTGTAACATTAAATCGTATTATTAACAAGGCTATAATTATAAAATAAAATATTTTATAAATATGCAACTTACCCTTCGTTTCTGCGCTGTTTGTGTGCATCTGCATATGTCACTTCGCCAGCTTGTCTCATATAATCCTTCAAATCCTGAACATCACACAAGAAAACGAGTTAGTATATTGTCAATGATAAGAAAATACGTATCTTACGTATCTATAATGAAATACGATTGATATTCACGTATGAATAAGACTAAGTTTTGTGTTCCTATATTAAAAAGATTACGCAGAAGTTAAAATGTATCCTGTGCACTTTCATCCACTATAGTTCTCCTAACACGTATTAAATACAGGAGTTCTCCCTGTCCTGAGGTTATACCAAAAACTTTATCCTCATTGAAAAAAACCATGCTATGTCTTCTGTCTATCCATATTCTTCAATGTGGAGAATATACTTTGAAAACATGTGCTCGAATTTAGTATCTACGATTGATGCAACCTTTCTTTTTATGCAATTCAATCTTTAAAACAAGTATAGTCCATTTGTTTTATAGAAGACCTCCACCCTGCAGAAAGTTACACAAAAGAAATCTCTTGATCATTAATGAAAATATTCGAACGAATGAAATCATCGAATATAATTTAATTTCTGCAGAGCAGCTCACAATAAAATTTCACTAAATTTATTAACTGCATACAAAGAAGTTTCTAAAATCAATTTCTGTTATTTAAAGCGGAAAAAAAATTGTAAATTGTATGGTTCGATCAAAACTATATGGATCGTTGAAAAGATGGAACTGCATAAGGCAGAGAAAAAAGACAGTTGCTCGTGAAATCAAACAGTGAACAATGAAAGATGAATGCTGAAAAAATGTTTGGTTTTTTTTAGAATGCTTTTCAGATTGCAAAACTTGTATTTCAATGCTGACAAAAGTAAACGTAATTCGTGTATACAGAATGAGAAACATATATATTTCATGTTCGCCACCACATCACAGCTGAAAAATGGAGTTCGAAAAATCCGAAGAAATTGAACCGATGCTGAAAATAAAAACATTTTCCACTTATTTCCTTTTGAAAGTACATAGCGGAGAGAAGTCATTTTTTTGCTATTGTCATGTTCATCGAAGATCTTCCTTCCGGAAAATTTATATTCCTCTTGATGTTATCCTTTCCTTATTATATTTTCTATAATTTAGCGAAGTAGTTATTATCTATTCTTCATGATTCTTCGTCCGTAATGAAAAGAAAATCTTTGGTATCCACTGTATATGTTCATGGTTGAGATTATTCTTGTATTTGTGGGAACCAGGTACGGCTTTATGCTGTGGACTCTTTCTCTCTCTCTCTCTCTATCTCTCTTGTACGTGCTTGTAGTAGGTAACTCTTGTCTTTTCATCTTGACGTTGTTTCTTCGGAATCATCCATAAGCCAATTTTTCAAAACAAATTCTTATTCGATGTGTTCGAAAATTCTAAATATCATATTCTTGTATCCTGTGTGCATGGTAAAGCGCATCGATAGGAATCACGCTGATTGTTTTCACACCAAACTGTTTTCTTTTAAAGGATTATCTGCAATGACGTTCGATGACTGAAATGTCTCTTTTGTTTTACATAAACCCATAAGAGAAGAGGAAGCTGAATCTAATAAAAAGAAAGAAATTGCCTTGCATAAAGAAAAGTTGTTCTTTTTTGTTTTCATTCAAAAAAACATAGAAAAGATCTATCCATTTCATGAAGAATATAATTAGTAGTTATTTAAGAACGTAATTTATGATAAACGAATATCTACATAAAGTCAGGAAAAATAAACCAATACGTATCATTATTAGACGAATGGATGCCTAATTTCGAGCACACTTAAATATATATATAGCTAATCTATATCATATAAGTGAAATATTGAATTGGTCTCCTGTTTTTCCCATTATTGGTTTCTTTGTTGCGTGTGCACATCTCCAAGCTCGTTGAACGTAATTTAATAGATACCTATGTTGATATAGATAGTATATATATACATATATATATATACACATATATATATGAAACACCTGAACTATGGTGCACAGTTAATAGATATACAATATGTATCTTAAGAAGATATCAATAAATAAGAGAAGTTACAAAAGTGTGTAAGTGTATATAAGATATATAGTAGATATAATGTATATATCTAAAGAGTACACTCGGTTAAGGTGACGCATTTACCTTGGGCCCAGGCACCACCTTGCTTACGGACAGAGAGAAAGGCCAGACACAACGGCGCTTGGTTGGGTCGAACGGATCTGTGTGGCGTAGTCGCGGATGGTTCGGGTTTCGGCCCGTGTATGCCCTCATGGGTGGCCGCTGCCTGACTTACTAGATGGCTAGGTTGGTGGCGTACCAGTAGCAGTAACAGTCGTGGTGTAGTAATAAATGTGATAGTAGTAGTAGTAGTAGTAGTAGTGCTAGTAGTAAGTAGTAGTAGCAGTAGTAATGGTGGTGATGGTGGTAGTAGTAGTAGTAGTAAGTAGTAAGTAGTAAGTAGTAAGTAGTAAGTAGTAAGTAGTAAGTAGTAGTAGTAATAGTTATATGATGGAGCAGTCATTATGATGGGTAATATAAAGGGTCAATAACAAAGTTGAGTAATAAGATGTCAAGAGTATAAATGTAATGCAGAAGGATTTATAGAGTGGCAATAATGGTGACATGATATTTCATAAAGGATATAACAGAGAAAATATGTGGTAACAATGGATGTGGTAATATGTAATGTTATGGATGGAAATATATTGAGAGAGTAAAATAGTGGTGATTGCTGTTGTAACACATCCAGGCAAAGATACAGGTCAGAGTCATTGATGATCGTAGAAGGCAGACGACGTTTTTCTCTCCCAGCGATCACGATGAGACAATCGCAGATACGTAAGAGAACCTATTTCGTCACTGGGTTTCACCACGTATCACTGCGTAAGAAGTAGAAGGTGGTAGGTGGTAGATGTACCCAGTGCCACGCGGCTATCTCTCTCACCCGGGACACCTCAGAAACCAACCTGGTGCCACTTGACCTTAAGGCGGGCCCATCGCGTGCATCGTCATCTTTATCATCGCACATCATCAGTCTATTGGCCCTACCGGTCGCCCCTCCTCGGCGAAGAGGACATGGCTCTTCGGAAAGAACATCAATTTTATTGTTTTTCTCAACTGTTGGCCGAACGTAAATGAAATAATAAATTGAAAAAGGAACGTCGAAGAATTGATTGAGCGAGAGAAATTCATAGACATGTATACTTTTTTTCATCAAAAGACAACCAATCATCCGAAAAGTACGATATATATTTATATATATATACAATGTATATTGATCAAGTAAGACTTGGTCCACATGCACACAAAGAAGCTCTATTTCTGTCTTTTTTTTTTCAATTCGTTGGCATGGACACTTAGAGATTTGTGTACACAGATGCATGTTTTTTTTTAGGATCAGAAATTTCGAAAGATGGAGTGCGTCCTGGTATTTCCCACATAGTTCGCATTTCCCATTGTTTTCCCAAGGTTGCCCTTCTCCATTGGTCTATCTCATGTTTTTGAATCTTCTTCTCTCCACTGTTCATTTGCTCCACGTCTTCTCTAAACGTACACACCTCTTCTTCCAAACAGTACGATCCGATTTTCTCAGTGTCATTTTTGCACTTGTTCAAAGATCAATATGCATCACACGTGATATTCTAGTGATATTCACATGCCTGCGCTTTTTGATATCGTATTTTCTCTGTTGGTCCCTTTGTGTCTCTGCACCTTTCTCCTTTTTCGTTTGTTCTCACTTCTGGTCATCTTTTGTGGCTCATCATTGAGCGAAAGTTATTAGGATAAAAAATTTTGTTTCAAAAATATGCCATAGACTTACTTGATCAAAATGTATATCTTTTTTTTTTGTAAATTCGGATTAGAGTTTCGGATATGCGTAAACGAACTTAAAAGTGACGAAAGAAAAATCGAATAAAAACATTAATGCTAAAAATGCCGCGTGTGTAAGTTTGGTTCAACTCGGGGAATACACGAAATGCGGAACGATCGAATGCCAGCGAGAAAATATAGGGAGCGGTTACCCGCGCGCATTTTCGATAGAATACTCGCATATCGTAATTATTCTGGAAACCTCGAGTAGCAATCAAACTCACAGAAAAGCTATCAGACGTATAGTAGATACGAAGCCAAGGGTACAGATATTGCTTACCTGCCAGCTGACGCGACTCGAGAGATTTTCCACAGTGAGGCGGTATTCAGTGCGTGTTGGTGGTCCGTATCTACAAAAGGAAAAGCATGGATATTATCTACTTTGCATTATTTCAATAGAAGCAGGTTTGTCTTGGACCTGACTTTATACGTAACAATAGCGAAACTCTAAGAATGGAAATGTAAAACTTGATTTGTAATATTCAATATTGCAATTATTTAGAAGTTGAATAAATTATAAGATGTATCGTTAGAGCGTAACATTGGATGTATGTACCTGGGCAATGATTGCTTGTAGCTAGATGCAGTCCTCGTGTTTCTGTTCACACTATCTCTGCAAAAAGGGATGTCATGTGAACAGAAATAACGGATCGTTGGTTAAACCTTCAGCAAATAACTACAGATTCTGCACTCATTGCTCAGGCACACAATCAATCACCTGTTCCAATCGAATCAAATCTACTCAAAATGCAGCAATAGCGTACCTGTCGTGCCGCATATCGTCTCGGCTGTAACAAACACAATACCACACATCTATTAGTCGCCAATTACATCGATCCACCTCTCTCATCTACCAGTAATAAACATAATGTTTGGGAGGGTATTCACTAGGCATTATAATGTACTAATGTACTTTTATACGTTAGATTTCTCAGCTAGTGAGAGTTCTTCAAAACTTCTATCAATTCGACGTACTCGAGAGAGCAGTCAAATCCAAGACAACCAATTCAAACTAATTCGCCGGTGCCTAGACGAACTGTCATCGTATGCAAATTGGCAAGCTTTACAACACTCATTCATTCCCTTTCATTCACTTTCACTCTTTTTCTTTCATTCTCTTTCTCTATTCTAGAGCTTATCATATCCAAGGTTACGTTCTTCCCTGTACGGGCGATATGTAAAATCATTTTTCATTACATACAATCGAATTAAATTTATATTCAAAGTGAAAAATTATTTTTATTTCATTTAAATATCAAAAGAAATAATTACTGAAGTTAACTCGAAAAGATTCATTTAAGATTTTGCATATCTCAATTTGATTGCCTGCAGGGGAGGAGGGGATAATGATCGCTCTGATAAAATAAAAAAAAGGATAGCGTGTCTTACGCAGATCGCCTCGAGTCCCCATAACCACCACGGGAGTCACCATAGCGCCACTGGTCACTACCCCTAGGTGTCCCCCGGGCCCTCTCTACAGTAATTCTGTAACAAGACACATTGGATATGCTTACTTGTCTCTCCAGGAGCGTGAGCGTCCGTAGCCACGGTCGCCTCGCCTCCCTGAAACACCCCGTGCTATCTCCACCGCCACTCTGAAACACACCCAACAAAACCCCGCCTAAGTCCTCGACTAATTCTTACTCTAAAGCTGCTTCCTTCCTTCCATCCTTCTTTCCATTTTCTTTTCCATTCCTCAGCCTCCTCTCGAAATCCGTTCAAATATCATCCGCCTCGTTCTTTATCTACAAAGTCCAGCCACTGAGGCGCTGTCCCCTCATCATCGTATTTGTCTCTTCATTCCCTCTCTAATTTTTCTAGTTGCTGTCCACTCAATTCGCAACTTATTATAACAATTTTAAATTAAGTATACGCTTGTATAAAATCTCAAGGCTTTCTCATAATTAACTGGGATCACTTATTTCCTCTCTTTGCTTCATTCTTTTTTATCACTTCGGAGAACAAGACGAAAGAATCGTTTATGATCACCAGAAAATTATGAAAATGCATTACTAACTCTGAAAGATACAGATTTGTATTTTTCTCTCGTTTTGTTTGTTAAATAATTTTTATCAAAGAAGCAATATACATTACGTAAAATTCTGAGGCATTTGTTATAAAGTATATTAAAATAATCTCTTTAGTACATATGTATATATCGGGGAATTGATGGAAGTAGTTCAAAATGGCGGCAAGTCATATCGGCTATTTAAGTAAGATGCACTTTTATTCCAGAGCAAACCCAATCAATAATTTGGAGGACAGACGCCGTTTTGTTAAACTTAAAGACAATAACCAAAGAAAAAAATTTTATATATATTGCATTTTTAAATTATACAGAAGCAACAGCAGATTATTATATCAATACCATATAAAATTTAGAAAACTTTGAAAATTAAAAATATATAAAAACATCAACATAAAGAAACAAGAATATGAAGAAAGATTTAAAAAAGCATAAATATTATTTACAATTTTCATTAATTTATAATTAATTTATTCTCAAAACTGTTAATTACATACAGATAAAAATATTTACTATTTAACTTTTTTCCCTTATAATCAGTAAAACTCAATGCCTTTAATTTCAAATACAAAGAACTGGGAAACATCTGCAATGAAAGCACTCTGCCCAATAATCCATAAAAAATTATAAAAGCGAAGAAAACAATTTTCAATGCTATTGCTTCTCATATATAATCCTACTTATTTCATGTAACATTAACAAAGTTGTTTTCATTTTAAAATCTTTTAAAAAATGCTTAAAAAATAATATCAATTAAATCAAAATTTCAACATTATAATGTATGTTAATGTTACACTTTCGATATAACTTAACTATAATAATAATAAAAATAAATGGTAAGAGTTATTAATATTTCAGAAATTTTAATATAAAAGAGTAGTCTCTTGTAATTTTCAATAATTAGTTTGTAAACTGTGCAATTGAAAACTACAAGTTTTAATACATAAATGTGAATGAATAAAACAAAAATAAATAGTGAAAAAAACTAATCATGCAAAACATGCTACCTACACCATTCTTCATACTTCTAATATATATAAAATATGTATAACGAATAGTATTTATTACCTTTCTCCTAGGAGCTCCTTCCCATTGAGCTCGTAGACTGCATCATCTGCATCCCTATAGTCGTCAAATTCCTGTAAACAAAATAGATTTATTATAAATTACAATAACAAGGAAACTTGCTATTCCCAATTTTTTCATGCAGTATTACATCGTATCATTCACGTTATTTAATACATCTTATTAATTCATAGTGTGTAACACACACGCATATATATGCACTTGCAGTTATTAATTCAAGAATTTTTCATCAATGCATATTGAGAAATTAGAGTAATAATATGGGGGAAAAGATTTAATAATTTAAATAATTTTGATTTAGTACAAAATTTTAAGAAATTATTTAATTTTCGTAATTTTATGGCTTTTAGTTTTACAACTGGTACTTTACCTCAAAGTAAAGAACAATTAAATATTGGATACCACAGTTTCCCTTTGATAATACATAACTTACAAACGCTTTGTTGATTAATCGATGAAAACCAGCACACAGTTCCATTAAGCAGCCACAGTACCAATGTGTTCAGGGCTCAAGGTAGGTCAGATCAACTCACGAGTTCAAGTTATTTTTTAAATGGAACACTTTATCCTCTACACATTTTGGTCCGCGGTGAAATAACAAAATAATTATAATTCTTTTATAAAATAAACCAAAAAATGCAAATAATCTCCACACCCTACATTAATAAATAACAAGACCAAACTGAGTAGAGCAAAGTGTTAGATATATATATAAAATTTGATTCAGGTACTTACAACAAAGCCGTAACCATTCTTGATGAGAACATCACGGAATCGACCGTAGCCTCTGAAAAATCTCTCAAGGTCTCTTTCCCTGGTGCCGTATGGAAGCCCACCGACATAGACCCTTGTCCCTACCATACTGTAAAAAAAACAATTGAACCACATTAGACTTACCACAAAGGCAAATCCATTCTTCATAGCGACCTCCCTGATTCTACCATATTTCCGGAAGAACTTCTCAAGGTCGCGCTCTCTCACCCGGTATGTTAATCCGCCAACGAATACTCGGGTGCTCATTCTTAAAGGAAAATATAAAAACACCATACATAACAGGCTACTTTAAGAACCTGCCATTTAGTCACATGACAACATTAGAACTGTTATGTTAATTTCCAATATTCTGGCTGAGAATGGCAATGTTAAATCAATAAAATTGATATTATTAACTTTATATTTCTGTTGAAACATTGGAAATTTATGTCAAAGAAAGCTTTGCAAGTTAAATACTTTTTGTGGCTATTAAACTGATTGCAATAGGTCACAAGTGCAATATAGAGGTGCTATTGAGTTTGTTTTTAAACCTAACATTTCATGTAGTTGATACAATATACTTTAGCATACATTCCCTCCATAACAGTCACAGATCATTTTTAGTTACAGAACAAAAATAATATTAATGAAACATAAAATATTATACTTTAACACTTATGTTAATATACAGATATAATATACATATAAATATAATTACATGCTGTGTTATATAAAAACGTGTAATAAATATATATTAGTTTATTATATGTTGAAATAAAAAGACAATTCTGGAAAGCATTAATATCTATAATCGCATATGAGTACTTTTTAAGTATTGTAACAATACCAAAATGGTGTATAATAATGTAAGAATTTACTGGGTATTTCTTATTTATTCTGAAACAAAAAAAAAAAAAAAAATTAAATAAAATGAACGAATATTTAATGTAACACGAGTTTATATTAAGCACATCTCATGCACTTGTGGATAACTTAAATAAAAAGTGTCTTAATAATTTGCATATTAAAATGAAGTATGACTTACTATTGGATACTAAGATATTTTACTTTCATGCTTACTCAGCCAAAAAGTGTTTATGCAACTATTAAGGAAGTATGAACATTAGTCGCATTCGGTATTTACAACAGATTTTATTCCGAGTAAAAATTTCCGCAAGACGAAAAATTTTACTACACATACCGAACTCGCCTGATGTTACAAACAATGAATTAAAAATGGCAAATATGTAAAGCAAGTTTCATTATATAAAATTTAACTTTATGTTGTATGAACATTTACCATCCGAGTATTGACCTTTAAGATAGCTATGAACTTATAATGTACTTGTTCGTAATGTTAAAATATAATATATAGTGAGAAACTTCGATTGCACTTTAAGGGAGCGTACCAATATGTATTAGTATATGAAACACGCGTCAAATTATTTTCCCTCCTTCACCCATTACAATCTCTTTCGAAAGCTACAAACTACAATATATTGCTATTTTAAAAATTTCAACTTTTTTTTGTTCTTGTAAAAATAATACATGAAACTTAATCTAAAAAGTGTAATATATATATATATATATTTCAAACTTCAGCGACAAACCATGTTTTTATTGGGCACTCGTTTCATAAAATGGCGGTCGTGTGATTGCTTATCGTCCTCCTTTTCTGGTACGTAATTTATACGATTATATGCGGATAAAAACGTGATAACTGTATTTACAAAAACATGTTGATTACATAAAATAATTATATCTGTTACTTTTTAATGGTAGAAATCTTTCAAAAATTATCAATATGATATGCGAATTAACGATAACGCTAAGATGGAATAGTTACGAATTATTTATGGAGTAACATACGTAATATCTAAGGCGTATAATTAATTGCAACGTGCACATATTTATTACAATTAATAGATATAGGAAAATAATAGAGAAAAATTTTGTGGGTGAGCATCCATGACGTAGCATTTGGAAAGCTTTTGCTACATTACTAACGTACAATTTAAAAATAAATAAACAATATAGTAAATGAATTATTTGAATTACAGAGAATGCTCGAGAACTCGTATTATCAAAATGAATTATCGTTAAACCATCATCATGGTGTGATACGTCGAGTACTTATCATGAAACGCGGCTGTTCCATCCATAAAACAAAGTATTTGCAAACAAATCATTTTTTTAATGCATATAATATCATGAAGAAAAGATATATATTTACAAACTTACCTGAATATACGTAGAAAACGTTGTTTTGTCCACAAATATCTTATGCTTTTGCGACACGAAACCACTCTAATCACTAGAAGAAGTAATGATCGGCGTCTGAAGTAAGATAGCTCGTTGCAATAACGGAAACAAAATGGGGTTCACACAACGAAAAACAAAGTCGCTGGCCGCTGGATGGTCGAGTCTCGACACCAGACGCCTAGTGTCAGAAATTCAGTATTATTTTAAACATATTACATAAATTCCATGCAATAATATGAGATTATTATCTGTCAATAAGATAAAATTTTTGCTTGTAATTTATAATATGAAATAATATTTCTTAATGTATATTCCTATAGTCCGTTATCCCCTCTCTAGTGAAATTCTTATTTGTGAATAAGTTACTACGTTTAAAACAATGAAGTTTAATATTATTCACTATTTAATTTTTACGTATTACCTATTAATATGTGTATAATTAATAATCATTTCTATTAGACTGGCAGTGAGTCATATGTAAATATGAATAAGTACAATTTGTATCCGAAGTAGTGTGTGCAGTAGTACAGAGCGCGATATTCAAACGACCATATTAAGTGACAATAGTATTTAAGTAATATATTTTTAAAATAAGTTTTATATATTTTAAGATAGGACACTACAAAAAAAATTCATTCTTTAATATAATTCGTGTACTATAAAGTATTTACATGTAAATGAAACTTTATTTTATCATAAAATTTAATTGCAGTTGTTTATCATTTTAATACAATCTTTATACAATATACAATATATAATAAAAAATACAATAAAAGAAGTTTGATTACAAATTGGATTATAATATCGAGGTAATATATATAGATGCAATATGTATTATATATGATTTAAATAAACAATACAATTATTTGATTGCGACAATAAACTTTAGTAAAGCTATGGATCTCTTATACGTTGGCTGAATCAGCGCCACCTACTGAAAACAAAAATGGTGGCCAACAATATGCCCTATCCCTGCCCTGGTTTTATAGCACGCCAAATGTCTGCGTTCTCTAGGCTTCTTTCTACTATGTATTTCCATCCGTCTGATATACCCAATTTCAATGTGAACAAAGGGAATCATTTCCTCGCGGTCGACCCTATCTTACGTGCTAAATAAGTGAGGCTACTTCTAACCAAACCGAAGGTGATCCAAAACTCGAATAATTTCGCGAAATTATAACCGCATCAGCTCGATTTGTCGTGTCATTCACCTTATATAATGTAATTGGTTACACACAATTCTATACGGCGGTTACATGCCTTTAACATGTATTGCCCGTTACAGGAAACACGAAATAAACAATCTAGCATTGTGGCAATGCAGTAAGGAGCAAAATCCTATATGCTTTACTAATACAAAGCGCAAGATAGATGTTTTTATTTTGCTACATGCTGCGTACGAATTACGTAAAAAAAATTTCCTGTCGTAACATCTACCATCAAAATCATTTAATATGTTTAATGAAATGTCAAATAATCACAGGGTCATATTAGGTTCGTACTATTGCAGATAAAGTATTTGTTTCCTTGACAACGGATTTACTGATACTACTATTTTAAATAAATTTCGTTAAGTAATCTATTAAATAAAGTTTGAAACTTTGAATTATTTTTCTTTGATATTAGATCACTTTTATGTTACTCTTAGATATGTTTTATATATTATGTTACAGAAGACATGATGAAGATTGATTTTTTTTTTATGCTAATAAAATACTGAAATATCTATAACTGATGATGATATGCTTTCATTATTGTAGGTTGTTGAATTTTACATAAACTGGTAATGACAGATAGAACAAACACAATGAGGTTGGAAGCAGAAATGGCTGCTCCTTTGCATTTACAGAGATTGGAACGTAGTCTTAATGTACAGCCCTTTCTAAGGCAAATTAATGAATTATTCCAAGATCCAACTAGGTAGTTCTTTTTTATATTGAATATAGTAAGAACTGCATCTGAATCTGCTTATGCTAAATCTGATAAAAAATTATTACTTTATTTTTGCAGCGAGGATGACAAATCTGTATCATCAGAATCTTCTGAAGAATCAGACAATTATCTTGATAATATACTGATTCGAAAGGAAGGTCTGTAGATTTTTTAATGTTTTATAAATGATCATTTTACATTTATTTTATGCAATTATTATATTTTACAGAGGAAAGAATTAATAAACTGAGGCTGTATAACATGTCAAGTGTTGGAGAAGAACGACGTTGGTTGCAGGATATTCTATTAAGTGATTCATCAGATAGTTCAGCTTCAGGATCTGATACAGATAATCCCATTACGGAAGAAGATTTTCAAGAAATGTTGAAGTTTCACATACTCAGAAAAAAGTATCAAGCACGCTTTTACCAAAAACCAGAGGTAAAATCAAAGTTTAAGTTAAGATCTATAAAGTATATAGAATTGATAGTAACAAAATTTTTATTTTCAGAATATTCAATATCAATATTATAGTGCTGGTTTATTATCCAATTATGATAGGTTTCTAGAACATCAAAAATTAATAGTTGGAAATAAAAAGAAAAAAGAAAAGAAACCAGAAAAAAAAGTTATGAAAATAAAAAAAGAAAAAATACCACGCCATAGATCCTCGGAGGATTATCCGGTATATAGAATAAAAATTAACATAATATATTTCAGAATTAGTATATTGTCATATCTATTTTAGGAAGGCGATTACCCAGATGAAGATTGGGATCGTACGATTCCACGAGAAGAAGAATTAGATGAAGCTGAATTAGAAGCAATAATGCGTCATCAACCACGTCAACGTGGCCGAAAAAAACATAACAATAAAAGTCCAGAAGTGATGGCAATGAGACGAAGAAAGATTTGGGTAATGATGTCTAAAAAAGAACTGGGAAAAGTACAAAGAGCAAAAACCAATAATCATAAGGAAATATTAATTAGTTGTAAAAAAGTAGCACAACATTGTATGAAATATTGGAGACAAAAAGCTATGCAAGTATGTGTTATATTACTATATTCATTATTACTTGCTCCTATTCAGAGATATTTCAATAATTTGTATTTTTTATATTTTATAGTCTCAAAAGAACATGAAAGAGACAATATGGAGAGCTAAACGTCTCACAAGAGAAATGCAATCTTACTGGAAGCGTTATGACCGAGTTGAACGCGAAACAAGAAGAAGACTTGAGAAAGAAGCTGAAGAACAGCGAAAAATGGATGTAGAGCTTATTGAGGTAATTAATGTTGATATATACAGTATTATTTAGAATGTAAAAAACAAATAAATTTGATTTTCTTTCCTAATAATTTTATCTTCCTTCATAATTTAGGCAAAACGACAACAAAGAAAATTGAACTTTCTTATTACACAAACTGAACTTTATGCTCATTTTATGTCTCGAAAATTAGGGAAAGCTTCTCCGGAAGAACAATTGCGGATTTTAAATCAATTAGACGAAGAAAAAAATCCAAGACTTGTTGGAATCGATGATTACGATAGGTAAATTTGTTAATATTTTATGTATTTCTGCATGTAAAGTATTATGTTATATATAATTTGATGTATGTACAAACAGTGAAGTTATGAAACAAAAAGCAAAAAAGAATGCTACTGAGGCATTTGATAATGAAAAAGCTCGAGCAAAACAGTTTGATACAGCAGCCGCATCCCAAGAATTACGGCTTAGTGATACACCTGAAAATTTAGAACATCCACAACCTTCGATTTTTAAGGGAAATCTTAAAGGTTATCAGTTAAAAGGAATGAATTGGTTAGCTAATTTATATGATCAGGTTAGTTAAATTCTTGTATTTAAAGCAATGAGATTTCAAAAAACCATATTTATGTAAATATTTTTGGTATTTTTAGGGTATTAGTGGAATTTTAGCAGATGAAATGGGTTTGGGGAAAACTGTACAATCCATAGCATTTTTGTGTCATGTTGCTGAAAGATATTGTAAGTTATTTAATATAAGTATTTGTATATTTTTGAAATTCTAAAATTGTTTATGACAATTTAGTGAACTTATTTTTTCATAGCTGTATGGGGACCATTTTTAATCATATCACCGGCTTCAACGTTGCACAATTGGCAACAAGAAATGGCACGATTTGTACCAATGTTTAAAGTAGTTCCATATTGGGGAAATCCACAAGAACGTAAAATACTAAGACAGTTTTGGGATACTAAAGATCTACATACGAAAGAAGCTTCATTTCATGTAGTGATAACAAGTTATCAATTAGTTATTACTGATTACAAGTACTTTAATAGAATAAAGTGGCAATACATGATTCTAGACGAAGCACAAGCTATAAAGAGTACTAGCAGGTTAGTACACTAGCAGGTGGTTATTTATTTATACTAAGTGCGTAATATTATATTATTTATTTTATAGTATGAGATGGAAATTGTTACTTGGATTCAGTTGTCGTAATAGATTATTACTTAGCGGTACACCCATTCAAAACAGCATGGCAGAATTGTGGGCATTATTACATTTTATAATGCCTACTTTATTTGATTCGCACGATGAATTTAACGAATGGTTTTCTAAAGATATCGAAAGTCATGCAGAAAACAAGACAGGAATTGACGAGAGTAATATATTTTTGTTGTATTTGTGTAATAATAGAATAACATAATATTTCACAAATCCAATATTTCTTTTTTATATTTAGAACACTTATCGAGGTTACATATGATTTTGAAGCCTTTTATGCTGCGTAGAATAAAGAAAGATGTAGAAAATGAATTATCTGATAAAATTGAAGTAATGGTATATTGTCCTCTTACTACTCGTCAAAAATTACTTTATTCAGGTAAGAATATAACGTTTCTACATATTAGGGACATTTTTGACGTTAAAAAATCATAATGTATTCTTTCGGACAGCATTAAAAAAGAAGATTAGAATAGAAGACCTCTTGCATTATACAGTGGGTGGAGACACTGCATCTAATGACAAAAATTTCACATCGAATCTTATGAATCTAGTCATGCAATTCCGAAAGGTAATAATATTAATATATTTAAAATTTCATATATTTTTTAAAATTTTATATTAATATCTACTTCATTAATTTTAGGTTTGCAATCATCCAGAACTTTTTGAGCGTAGAGACGCGAGATCTCCATTGTTCATGCACACTGAATGTTATGAAATGCCTGCATTATTATATATAGAAGGATTGAGACATCTCTCGTCTAAAGATCACTTGTATAATAAGCTGTTCATATTTGCTACTGAATATATACATTGGACTCTTCACGGTGGCAATGAAAATTTTTCTCAGAATTCTTTTTCCTTTAGTAGATTTATTAACTTGTCTCCAATGGAAATGAATCAAGTATTTATCGTTGGAATTATATTCAGGTATACATGACTTTTTATATTATAAATATATAACATATGTTTCACAATAATATTTATTTTATCATTTGCGCTTAGATTGTGTCTTGCTACTGTAATGGAGAGGAGAATAAGAATGATGCATTATTGGGAAGATTGGAATGCTGATGAAAGAACAGAAATACCTATGAACCACATGTTTCTTTTGCCTAGAAAAATCGACGACTCGCATTCATTGCAGGATTTAATATTTACAAGAAAGATTATCGAAGGAGAACCTGTATATACGCATACAACTCATGTTATTCATTCAATGCCTGAAACCGTTGCTCATCGAATTTTACGTAGCAGTAAAAAAGCTGCTAATCAATCACTGAAGGTCCGGAATTAATATATATCTTTTTTTTCTTATATTCATTTGATAGATTAACTTAATTAAGATATGTATTTTTTTTTTTTTTACAGAGAATGCTTCCCTCTACTAAAGTTGAACAAGAAGAGTCAAAAGTGACTTTGTTACCAGAACATCCTCATTTTCCTAGGTCACCAATAATGCGGCATTGTCAACAGACAACCATTCCAGCTTTCATTTGCGATACTTTTCCTAAGGTTTTCAAATAGATTCAACAGCATTAATTCAAAATCAAAGTAATGGAGCGTACAGCAATATAGTGAATGAATGTTAATTTCAGGTACAAGCTAGTCCCCGAAAATTGTATGTTAGCAATAGTTCTGCAGCGTGCGCTTGGAGAAGACACGAAGAATGTGGCGGAAAATTTGGTCAACGACTTCTCTGGCTTGGTTGTGAACGAGCTCTTTCTGTCGCATCGTTACAAGAGAACTCAAGCTTTCATATATCACAGATGACATCAACATTTTCTGTGGAACCACGTGGTGGAATTTCTGCATGCACTCCCATAAACGGATGGTCAAATATTATTGTACCAGGTAAGCATTTTCTTGATATTATTTCATATACATTTTAATCTATATTTTTTTTTTCTTTACATTGTTATAGATAAGCAAACCTTAGTGACAGATGCTGGAAAACTTTCTGTCTTGGATAGTCTTTTACGTCGTCTTAAAGAACAGGGTCATCGAGTCCTTATTTATTCTCAGATGACAAAAATGATCGATTTGTTAGAGGTAATCTCGATATTCGACGAAATCATTACAAGATTTTACATCATATTTTTATTACAGGAGTACATGTATCATAGAAAACATACCTTTATGAGATTAGACGGTTCTTCTAAAATCTCAGATCGACGAGATATGGTTGCAGATTTTCAAAAAAGGTAGCTTTTATACTTTTTAATTATCTTCTCTAATTCTCTATAATATAGAATTTTATGTTATTTCGTAGAAATTTGTAAATATTTCACATGTAATTTTATTATCTGTCAATCTAAACCCTACTAATTTAATGAGGCTATATCATTAGTGAACTGAACGAACTTTTTCCCGGCGCTGTTTAGAATATGTATCAACCACGCATCATGTTGCATGTCTAAAGCGCGGCCTCTTAGCATGTCGTTCGTTCACTCGCGCATAACTAACACGCGAATTAATTGGCGAATCGGCCCTGTCTCGTAGACAGCTGCAGCTTTGGCTGCCCGCCACAAATGCTAGGCTCTAATAACGGCTGATCTTCTAACATATTTTATTTCAAACTTGTGCTCTTTATTTCAAGGAAATTAAAAAAAAAAGAAAAGGAAAAAACGTATCCTTTCGATTGTATCCAAATTACAATCGAATCATGGAGATCTTGAAAATGATAAAATATATTCAGCTTTTGTACTGGAAATCCTTTAAGTGCACCACCAGCGTATCGAATTAATTTACATACAAAAACGTGTCGTACTCGACTGTTCGATCTACATGGACTTTGTTTCGTGTTTCAGGGCGGACATATTCGTCTTTCTGCTGAGTACTCGAGCTGGAGGCCTGGGAATAAACCTCACTGCCGCAGACACGGTTAGTAATCTTATCCTATGTCTTATCGGTTCGTACTTTGTACGTATTCACTTTACGATTTCATAAAGTCGGGCCGTTCGCCTTTTGTTCTTTCTTTTGTTGTACATGACAAATAGCTCGAAACTTAGGGGGTACAATTGTAATTGATCGAAAACGAAGAAGCATAGCGTGAGAAATCACGATTCTATTTTCATGTGGACAGAATGTTAATCACAACATTGAATCTTCACTATGCAACTTTGATATCATCGATTTAACAAGGCTGATTTGATGCAGTGTCGTTTCGCGTGATATATAAAAATATTATTAAAAATAAAGACTTGTAACAAATTCTTAGATCGTATACAAAAATAGATCGTTACTGGCTTTCTGATAGAATAATCGATCGAATAAGTTGATCTTCATTAATGCAAGAATGCGTTTATTGATGAGGTAATCGATTATAGTTGATATAGTGCGAGCTTTCTCGAATAAATTTCTTTTTCTTTTTTTTCAAAGAAATTATGACGATGGATCATACATCTTAATCACGAGTAAAGTGACATTACAAATTAATGGTGGAATTGATAAGAACTTTTGGTCAGGATCGTTCCCCTGCATTGCCGAAACTGCATTCTGTTACGTACGGATGTGCACAAACATAGGCTGCAGGCATTCATTTGTTGAAGCTACGATTTGCATATGCCCTCGTTCGAATATCGAGTGGAAAGAGAAGCGTCCCTGTTTAGAACGTCACGTACAATAGATATCTGAATTTCGATCGTTGAAAGATGGTATCTTTTCATACGAAACATTTCTTTTCTCATGAGTAAAATGATTCGACTAAAATAGAAATAAATTTTATTTCATAGGTAATCTTTTACGATAGCGATTGGAATCCAACGGTGGATCAGCAAGCTATGGATCGGGCCCATAGACTCGGTCAAACGAAACAAGTTACGGTATATCGATTAATTTGCAAGGGAACTATCGAGGAAAGGATACTGCAACGTGCTCGAGAAAAAAGCGAGGTACGCTCAACTCGCAGTTAAAAAGTTAATTAAGCCGCAAATTGAGAAAACGGATCGGAATCATGTTTTAAGTCACGCTAAATTTTCAAATAATAAAAAGAAAATGTAATTCAAATATTTGCAGATACAACGCATGGTGATTAGCGGAGGAAACTTCAAACCAGACACGCTGAAGCCCAAGGAAGTCGTTTCCCTTTTATTGGACGACGAGGAAATTGAAGCCAAATGTGAATATTTTTATTTAATCTTCTCCTCCAACTTTTAATTTAGTACAGTTGTATACCATTTATTGAAATGTGTAGCAGAGTTTATTGTAAAATAAGTAGCTTTTTATAATCTTGTTGAAATGAAAGTTTGAAATGCAAACATAGAACACTATACCGCATTTTTGCTTGCTGAAGCGTGATTTTAGTTGTATTCTCGTGCCGAGATGCGAGCCGGCACACAAGGAGGTGGAGAGAGAGAAAGAGAGAGAGAGAGAGAGAGAGAGAGAGAAAGAAAGAGAGGGAATAAAGGGGACGAAAGATGGTAGAGAAAGGAAAGAGCGTGGATGCAATTACATTATGCTCGTTAGGTTATGCTAATGCCCTAATAACGAATAATAATAAGAAAAGAAGTAACGAACGTCCCCATATACAACGCCCGTGTTCGTATATTTCAGACAGCCAACGGAGCGAGGAGAGAAAGCAGCACGCGGAGGATGCCCGACTTGAGTCGAACCTATACTATAAAGAGAGAGACCGGAAGAGGAAGTTAACCGCGCTTCCGGTCAAGGTGAGTCCTTAGAGCCGCTATTTTCTTTTTCATTCTCAGTTTCTGCAATTATTATTGGAACGTTCCTTTTATGTTTCTCAAATTTCTATAATTGTTTTAATCGTTTACTGATATTTTGCCAGGGTGACGCGAAGAAGCCTTGTTTGTCCGATGCGAATGGCGATAAAATTGGCGATATTGTTCAAGCTAATTCTAACGAAAGCAGTCAAGCCGGTGGTGTCCAATCGTATCAAATTAACAATCACCAACAGATTCTCGATAACATGGACGACTATAGCGTTCCCACCAGTCCTGTTAAATCAGAGGTGTGTATATTCAAGAATCAACGACAAAGCTTCAACTGGCTAAAAAATGGAAACGGAGTTAATAAATCTTATATATTTTAATATGTTTAGGATGAGACGAGCAATGACGGCCTGGTTGTCGATGTGGATGGTCCAGTGGGGGCATCCTCCGGTGACAACCGGCAATCACGAGCGAATCAGTTTGGAGATGCTGGAAAAGTCAGTCGTCTCGATCACCACGTGTCTTTCAGTAGCGGAAGCAGCGTTCGGATAAGGCCTACGATTCGTGGTACTAGCAAGAGGGGAAGACCTCGGGGTTCTCGTAGAGGAGGGCCCGTTGGTGGGAAGGGTCGGGGCCTTCTTTTGCTTCATCCACCGTCTAAGGGTCTTGGAAGCAATCCTCAATCACCAACATCTTTATCTCCAACCAGTAGCAGTACTACCAGCGATCAAGCTTTACAACACGGTAAATATTCATTGCTTGAAAAAGTAGGAATATCTGTAGTTATTGACGACGATGATAACATCATAGATATTCGTCACAGATAATCACGCCATTAAAAAATTAATGTATTACTAACCGTGCCAAGGTTTCTTTTTTCACAAGGACGTACGGAAATGCAGATTGGATCATTTTGAGTAATTCAGTCCGATAGATTCATCACCATTACGCGGAATCGTGTGATGTCTGCTGATGAATATTTAAGCATGCAACTTGCACGTAATGAGTTCATTAATGTAAAATATATATTGCTTTGATTCTGTTACCACGTAGACCAAGGATTGCCAACGAGACTAACAACTATCTAGTATTTCAATTTATACACTCGACAATGCGTAATACGCCTATAAAGAGAATTTTGTACAATCATTTAGATCCCGTATCGTCCAACCGCATTTGCCTTGGCTGATTTTAAATCGCTGAGAAATCGCATGCTGATTCTGTCAGAATGTACGTACGGTAACGATACGGTTAAGAGGATTAAGCGAGAAGTTTCGGGAAGGCCAGACTCGAAATGTCCCCTCCTGCCCGATCAGAATGACTTTTCGTGACGCACCCTCGAATCGATACATCGTTAATCCTGACTGACTCTTTCATAGATCCCCCCCTCCTCCCCTTTTGCTTCTATCGCACCACTTGGTCCGATTCTCATAGGATTTTGCTCTCGGTGCAAAAAGAAAACACCCCTGGGCACCGCGGATATCCCTTGACTGACGTGAAATCCATCGAAATTCCCTCGCGATTACATGTGCGCGCAAGTGTTGCGACGAACAGTTGGCGCCCTTCCTAAGGGTATGCGATTTACCCTTCGAGATATCCACCCCATTTTATGACTCACTCTTTCGCTCGCAGTTTTCAAACGTTCGAGTGCTGCACACCGTCTTCTGGGACGGGGGTCTCGTTTTGGTTTCTCAGTTGGTCGGACAGTGGTTGCATTTTGGTTTCCAAGAGTGGACGTAGATTGAATTGACAAGGACGATGGATTTGGTCTCTTCATTCTGTTTTTGTCTTCTACTCTTTTTTGATACTATTGGGTACTTGTACTTGAACAAGTAAGTATGCGCATGAGAAATTAAAGGGCTCGTGACTGGGAAAACGAAAGAATGATCCGTCTGTAATTTTTGCTCGATGTATATTAATTTTTTTGTTAACAAAATATTCAATAATATGATATATAATATTTTTATATTATATTTCATATTATATAATATTTTTAAATTATACATCATATTATATAATATTTTTATATTATGTATCATATTATATTTTTGTATTATATAATATTATATAATATGATATATAATATTTTCCGTTAGTTCTCTCATGTGCAACTTGTATCACAACGCGAACGTAAAATTCATTGTGCATAAGCAGATACAGTTATAATTTCAAAACGGATCTATAGTATCAAAAAAGTGTTGGGAATGTAAAAGGATGTAAAAGTTGCCTCGAACGTCGACCAATTCGGCATTTTCGACACTATATTGTATAACACTGCATAACGCGCGGTATCGTGTGAAACGCAAAGTTTTCGACAACGGAGGAAGAGAGGGAAGACAGTTTCGTCAAAAAAGAAAGAAAAGAGGAGCGAGAAGAGGGACTGATGAAAACGAGTCGCACGAAAACGAGTAGGTGGCCCTCACGCAACGACACGTGGACCGAAGTTTACGCGGGCAACGTGCACAGCACCTTCATGCACGCGCGCACGCTCGTACGCTGTTTCGTGCTACATATACGGAAAGGAAAGGGGTCGGTTCCCTCTCTCACTTGTCGTCGACTGGAAGGCGAGCGGACAATAGCAGGTGCGGAGCGAACGCGACAGCTGCGATCGATGATGTTCTTCTTAGGTTTTTGGAACTCACTCACACCCCTCTCTGTCCTTTCTACTTACCTTCCCCTTTCGACTATCACTTCGTTTACTCTGCCTCCTTTCTTTCGCCCCGTTTGTTTTTCCTCTCTATTCATTTCGCCTGTGTTCCTTTCTCTTCGCGATTTCCGTGAATTCCCTCCACGTTGATGATTATCCTCAGTCTGTTTTGTCGCGGTATATATCTTTTACAAAATTCGATTTACAATGTTCGTCCGTGTTCATACTGCTTTACGTGTCCTTTGTAAAATTCCTTGGATTTGTCATTGTGAAATCAAATTGTTATATCACGTTAGTGTCACGTTGAAATTTAATCTTTTATTTCTGTAATGCCTGGAAAAGGTGGAAATTTTCTTAGTTGCAAACATTTAACGTTTCTTTCTATTTACTTTTACTACCATCACTTTCTATTACTACTGATCGTTTCTATCAACAGTCTGCTAATTATACGTTTCGTCATTTACATTTTATCTTAACTTAATAATTCAAGATGCAGAATAAGATTTCTGATTTGTTTCAATTTCAATGAAAATTCATTACTCACTCTTGAGAAACGATAGAGGATTTCATTTGAGATGCATTTTTGCAAATAAGAGCAAGACATATAATGCTTGCTCTCTCATCTACATTTCTAAAATTCTGCTCGCACTATACTCCCCTAAAGAACATACTTTGTACAACGTATCTACGAATGTAAGTTAAACAATCTCCATTGAATTTTATTCAATCTTTCCTTACCGGAGTCGATCAAATTTTGTTACTTCCTTAAATCACATTCACAAGTATCGACCTTGTTCGTTATTTAGGTATCGTTTGCATAATTTCTCGCAATGGATAGGTAACTCTGTTTCCATCGGGGAATAGGTAACCCATTCCAAGAGGTCTACGAGGGATTGGATTTTGTGGATTCGTGCCGTACCTCACCGTACCGTACCGTGTCATCTTGTTCGTCCGCATCGCTTTCATCATATTTCCGTGTCATGTAACGGAAAGTAATTCCAACCAGTTCGAGTGCTTGATACAACCTCTACAGCTATGAACTCGCTACTTCCGCGACGATAGAGCCGATTCCTTTTCTGAAATCTTGCCAAAATGTAGTTAGAAACAAATATTTCAATCCTTCTAACATTTGAATGTTGAACACTTGAGTCAAATATCCGTATCAATTTTCAATCTGTCTTCAATTACATTGCTTTCTTATTTACATTAATTTTTTGATGGGCGGAAATTAAAACTGTACAAGTGAGACTTTAGTACATTTTAGACATGTGTTATCAATTTTCACAGGCCAAAGTCTAACATCTGTATTTTACATTACATTTTAAACTCAAATATTACAAATGCTTTTCTGCGAACGAACAATCCTAATTTGTACAGCCCATCAGAGAATTAACATCAATTGTTATTTTTATCCATTTTACCTAAATGAAGTGATTATTGATGGTAAAAATTAGATCAAGATCCAGATTTCAATATTACTTACTTCCTGTTCCTTTAAATGTAAATATGAATTTGCCGATCGTTGTCAGAAGGAAGCGTTTAAATTTATTCACGCATGCCAATCTGTATGCACTTGAATGAATTATTTCCAAATGTTCTAACAGTCGAGAAACCGTCTCCACAGCTTCCTTCCGGCTGAGAAGCCATCCGTCGGCATTACGATAACGAGATTCTGGCGATTCATTATCCTCATTGGCGAGGAACGACGGTCGTTTAGCCGGAGGGATATTGGCAAAACTATTTCATTGTCTCCTGCTTTAGAATGCAATAATTTTCTCCGGTGTTCCAGGGTGCTCGAGGCGAGAGAGCGTCTCGAGACACCGTGAAAGAGGCCGCGTCGTGGCAAAGGACGAAAACGGGCAGGGAGTAAGAGAGTTTGGCTGTGTGTTGCGCGGCTGAGATACGGCAGGATAATGCGGGAAGATAGGACGGGGCAAGGATATTGCCAGCCGGACGGTCGGCATTCCGCGGATCCTCGCGTTCCATTCGCCCTTCCAGCCTCGAAACTTCTCGAGAACCCTCTTTCTTTGTACGCGCGCACCGGACTCTCTATCTCCCGGTTGGGATCTCGCCCACGCGTGCTTTCCGCGGGAATCGCGGGACCCTCGATATATATGCGAAAATATTTTAAACCGACCCCTCGGTGTTTCGTTCTTTCCTCCTGATTTCGCTCTCGGTTGGATATTAAACCAATTAGGGACCGGTTCCTCCTCTTTCATTTTCCTCTCTCTCTCTCTCTCTCTCTCTCTCGAATTTTTGACATTCCTCCATTGAACCAGTAATTGAAGACTGTAGGAGGGAAATACGATGATAAGTCCATTTCGTCGATTTCCTCTCACTCTGTTGATTGGTGGCTGGAAAAGAAATATTTTGGTATTTTAGTATTTGATGTAGAAAATTAATATTAATAGTTGGTCTAATTGTTATCTTGATCTAGCTAGAGGCTATTGAAGTTTAGTCGTATAACATCTTGTTATTTGAAGTTTAGGTAAAAGGTATTATAGAGGTTGTCCAGGAAACGTTAATAAACGACATTTTAGACTATACACACAGGACGTTCGTTATAACAAATAACATAATATAATACGTTTTGTTTTATCAAGATCAAGACGAACACCATGTTCGTTTCTCAGAGGGTGTTCGAAACACCCTTCTCTCCCTTACCATTTTCTCCCTTTTCTACAAACGGTTCGACGCTCTCGCGACAAACTCGCAACGCGAGTCAGCAGTTGCATCAAGTACACCTCCAGGACATTCTTTGTTATCCGAAGGAACCAACGTACGCTGGTTCGAGGATCTCGCGGGGCGAAGCGCCTCCTTGGAAATCTCGTTAGAATCGAGCGCACGGAAAACCGGAGGAGCCCCGTGTATATAATAATGAGAAAACCGGTCCCTCCGGAGCTTTTCCACACCCTCGTGGCCCCTTTGTTGCCAAGTGGCCACTCAAACTTCTTCCTCTCTGTTCGCCGAGGTGGCTCTGAAGAGCGTCTCCTGAAAGGATCGGGAACGTGCCAAGGAATGTCGACGACTTGAACGAACGGCGCGAAGCCGTGTGTGTGCGCGAGTGGAAAAAGGGGGAAAAAAGAATAGGCGAAAGGAAGGAAGAAAGGAAGGAAGGAAGAGGGAAGAGAGAAAGAGGGGAAAGAAGGACGAGAGTTGGAAGGAGACAGAGCACCGTCCTCCTCGTACATCCTTGCTCGGCTACTGACCTTCGACCCTGTCACTCACCCTCCTCCTCCTCCTCCTCCTCCTTCGGCGGCCAGAATTTTTCTCTCTCGCTATCTCATTAAATTCTCTTCCCTCTCCTCTCCTGGCCCCGGCTGTGCTTGTCCTCGTGGCCGGCTCCTGCGTTTACGATCAGTCGAATAGATGCCACGGCACGATCCTCGAGTTTGTCTTCGTACCGTGCCGCGTTGTACCGGTGAATAACCGATTAACTGGTCAGACCACTCCACGTTAAATGGAGGGCCCCGTTCGTACCCTGCATCTGCCATTATAATCGTGAAAAGTTGCAGGAGCCCCGCGTGGCCGACGCCGCGCCGTCCTCCTTCCCCGCGAAATTCGTACCTCACGGGCATTTCGCTCGTTATCTTCAGGCCTATCGTCCCCGTCGCTGCATCGGCCACGCCGATTTTCCTCGGTGATTTTCACGCCGACAGACGTCCAATCGATTCTCCACGGGAAACGTTTCTTTACGCGCGATAACCTTTTGATGAATCCGACGTGTGGTCTCTCGTGGTGATCGTATTTTTCGGAATACAGAGAGAGANGAGAGAGAGAGAGAGAGAGAGAGAGAGAGAGAGAGAGAGAGAGAGAGAGAGAGAGAGAGAGAGAGATATCTTCATATTTAGAGGAAGAACTCGGCTTCTGGAACTTTTTTGGAACTTCTAAATCCTTCTTTTTTTTCCTCTCATAAATTTATATTTAACCGCTTACGCTGGCAAAACTGATTGCGGACCATAACAAGTGACCAAAACCGTATACGATAATTCGTCGCTTTCCTTTTTGAACTCGTCGGTATGATATCACCGGAAATAGAAATTATTGAGAAGTAATAAGTTTATTATTCATTTTGCCTGGGTTATACTTAAAGCTGAGAAAATATTGCAATTTTGGGACAGAAAATTCCCAACGTGCATCATTCCAGCGCAAGAGGTTAAAATCCTTTGATAATTATCATCTAGCGTTTCTTACAGTTGAAATCGTATGGAGCCAACAATGTATACATCTTTCTCCCAAGAAGAGTAGTCCCTGAAATAAAGAAAACCAATGGAAAACTGATTTCTTAATTAAGGGGGCAGGACAGTGTGACGGGCCTAAAAATTACGTATACTTTGGAGAGCTAGCTAGACCTTTTGTATCTTATTTCCAAGATTTCAAACTACTATTTAAAACAAAAAAAAAAAAAAAAAAATCGATTCATTGAAAATTTCACACTGCTCTGACCCCTTAAAAACTATGAAACGAGCATGACAAATTACTTGAACGATCGTTATTTAATGTTATAGTGGTGCAAGGAACGTCCGGGCCGATAGAAGGCGATGGTCCCAGTTCTGTAGGTCCATTGGGTCCAGTGGGCACATTGGGTTCCCTCCCAGGCAGAGGAAGCGCGCCAGCGATTCGACGAGGTCCAGGACGACCGCGATTAAGGCCAACGGGTCCTGCCCATCAAGGATATCGTACTCCCGGTCACCATCATAGTCGGAAGGTGCAACGGCCGCTTCCGGTCCCTCTGAGGTCCCAACAGACGATCACCAGCGTGAATCAACAAAAATCTTCGGTACAACGAGCCTCGGGATCCGGCCCGTCGGTGACCTCTCCGTCAATCAGCACCGGCACGTCGTTTTCTTCACCGACCGGCGAGTCCAGACCATTCGGATTCTACACGCAACAACAACAGCAGCAACAACCACGAAGATCGTCCTAGCTTTCGGAGGGAGAGTTCCTCCGTGTGATTCTCGAAGGAGATTCCTGAAAAAGAAAAAAAAAAAAACAAAAAACAAAAAACTGCGGAAGTAAAAGTTCAGGGCACAGAACGACACTGAAATCTTGCAGACACAAGACTGTTCGTTTTGCCGATTTCTTGCGTGACGCTTGTGTTCTTCGAATGGTGATCGAACCGGAAGGGAGGGTACCTCGAATCCGGATGAATCTTTAATTATCATCGAAGGGACTGCAGGAGTTTTAAACGACGACGTGTCGTTCGGCTGTTTCTTGATTGTACATTACAGAGGACCGTGGGGTTTTTGAACGGTACTTTGAATAAAAACGAACTTTGAATTTTTATCGGAAGAGGGCGGGGGAGGGGGGAGGGGTTGAACTATGAGAGTTCGATCATTTCTTGGCGACTTTTGACGCGACGAGCCTGGGTTATTTCTCATTTGCACGCTGCAGAGAACGTATGTACGTCTTTTTGATGGATCAATCTTTGTTTTAAGCATGTTTCGGAATGGTTGGCTTGATTTTTATAGAAGCAGCTTCAATACTGTGTTCAGTGATAAGAAACGAGGACCGAGAATGCAATAGTCATTCTCTTCTTGCTTTTTTCTTTATATATATATATATATATATATATACGTATATTTCCAAAATATATATATATATCATAATAATTTATAATATAAATATATAATATATAATAAATATATTATATAATTATACATATATATATATATTTCTTTTTTTCTGTAAAGAATTCTGAATTTGATTCGCAGTATATAGATTTTACTTACAAGAATTTTTCGCTCGAATAGTGCAATGGAAATTTTTTAAAAGAACAACTTAGCGTTCGTTTGCACCGTTTCCCGCTCGCGAATGAAATTAGTCCGCGTTAGCGAAGTTAGATTTAATTAGCTGGTACAACTCTAGCGAACAACTCCGAAGTGATTTCAGTCTTCGACGAAAGAAATTTTTTTTTTTTTATCACGTGATTTCGGATGATCCGACGTTCGAACGTCGAAGCGACGCTTTAGAAACCGCTTAATTAAGGAACAAAGGGATTTTATCGATCACAGATACGCGTGCATTTTAAACGATTTTCGAAAAGCGCTGGAAATTCTCGAGCTGTACATAAAATATGTATAAAAATGGAAATTAACTTGTCGATATTTAAATAAATGATTAAGGGGATAATTCTCGTGCGTAAATCTTCTTGGGGGGGGGGGGGGGGAGAAAAAGGTATGAACGAAGTGAATGAAACTTAGCCTTGAAAATTTTTCAAAACGCGCGCTATATCGTTTAGGCAATTTGTACAAATTAATCGTGCCACATCGTTATTAGGTACTTAATAGAACAAGTTCGAGCTAGTTTGCATTAGGATCAGGTGACAAAAAGAATTCAACGAAAAGAAAAGTATATTAAGCTAAAAGAAAAAAGCATTAGCCAAAAGAATAAAGAAAAAAAAAAAAAAAAAAAAAAAAAAAAAAAAAAAAAAAAAAAAAAAAAAAAAAAAAAAAAGGAAAAAGCAGAAGAAATACAGCAAAAAAAATTATGTTAAGAAAGTAGACAAAAGTCTGACTGATTCGAGACACCGATCATCGGAAGACTTGCCGAGGAAAGTTCTTTACACTTTCTCGAAACAGAAGACGAAAAAAAAACAAAAAAAAAAAAAAAACGAGAACAAAGCGTCGAAGCAGCACCGTGAAAATAGCTTATAGATTTTGTTTCGTGATTTGATTAATCATTTAATTAATTCTTGTGCATAGTATGTTTCGATCAATGCGATAAAAGTATTGAGATATGTAGCGAGGAATTTTCAAGCGATAAAAATAATATACGAGGACAATCGTCGAACGATCGATGAAACGATTGATAGCATCATATTTTTATTTTTATTTTTATTTTTTTTTTCTTTTTCACTCGACGATCGGCGAAACGATTGTTCGACGAGGTGGAAGATAAGAAGAAAAAGAAGACAAGCACTCCATCACAGTCTTCGTTCTTTCACTTTTTTTTCTTTTGCCTCTCCTCCCCCTCCCCCCATCACTCTTTTCTCTCACTTTCTCTCTTTCTCTGTCTTGCTCCTTCTTCTTTCTATCTCTCTTTCCATTTCTCTCAACGTATTGCAATTTGTCGAACGCAGTAGCATTAATTCCGTCACTAGGCTCGGTTAGATGATATTTTTTATGCGTGTTGTGGACTCTCATTAGGTCCAGCCGATTTGTAAAAGAATGGTATTTATATTAGCAATAAATGATTCAAATGGTCACTAACTGTTGATGTCTGTTTTATCATCGAATCTTTGTCTATCCACATCGCGAAGTCCTTACTTGAGATAATTACTACTGATCACGAACAAGTTCTTGAATAATTAAATCATTTAACCTGGCGTTAGGTTTTACATTTTTTCGGAAGCTCTGCAAGGGCAGTTTCTATTTCTTTTCATTTGCGCATCCAAACACGAGACTTGAGACAGAGTAGATCTCAATTAATTTTAAAGTGGAGATATTTAATTATTATTATAATTTTATTATTTATTAAAAATTGTGCTTTAATTTTCTCTTTGCACTTTAAAATATCTGAAAATTGAAAATCTACGTGATTTCACGCAGGGGGAGGGGGGAGGGGGGGGGGGAATATAAGCTAAATATAAGCTTTAAATTAATATTAATTTTAAAAATTAAATATATATATATATAAATTATATATTATTTATTATCTAATAAATAAAATAATTCAATTTTTTAAAAATATATTTATGTTTAATTATATATTTAATAATAATTGATAGTTTTATGATAAAATGAATTATCTATGAATTTTTAACAATTTTATCAATTAGACTTTTAAATATTATCAAAAAAAATTCAACAGAAATAATTAGAATTTTATACTATTCAATTTCATCTTTATCGTCAATTATATTTATATTTTTTTATAGCTGGAAAAAAAAAGAGGAGAAGAAAGACACTTTCGCAGAAGTGAGAAACCCGCGTTTATTTTCCACGATGCATTCCTCGAATCCCGATGTGCGGCGTTACGGAGTGTCCGGTTGCTGGTTTTTCTGGCGATGGACGCCGAAGTGAACGAGGTAAATGAGGTAAATGGATGAACGGTGAATAATGGATGAACCAACGCTAACGTCACCGACGTACAAACGAGCGTCATTCGCTTTCTTGCTTTCAACGTAAACTCAATATCGTGAAATTCCATTTAAATTCACTTTACCATCAATCGAACATATATATATATATATATATATATATATATATATATATATATATATATATATATATATATATATATATATATATATATATATATATATATATATATATATGCACACACACCTATCATGAATTTATAGAATTGCTCATCCGCAAAACAATGAAAAATATCTTTAGTCTCTGTGGATTCTATATGTTGAGTCGTAAAATTAGTATTGCCCGACAAATGATTTACGATTCGCAGCCATCGCCATCTGACATTTTATTATTAGCAAATTTCATTCAACGGTGTTAGCGGTTGAAATTTTCTTTCAGAGATCGAATCAACTAGACGAATCTCTGAACAACACACACGCGTTGACCTAGCGTTGACAGTGGAGGATGTCGAGAGAAAGTCAGACGTACGGTCATATTTAAGTGTTCCGTGGCGGTTCGGATGGATTACGATAAAGACAGAACGGAGAATCATCGCGGATCGTTACATCCGTGGTAACGAAATCGAAATTACAGATACGAGCGGGATTCGCAGTGTGCAAATTACGATACGATTTCTGCGGTTCTGCCGCTTTCTACGTTTATTTATCGTGCGTCGAGGAAATGGCACGCGATACGGTGGAAACCTATAATTCATTCGGAACAGTTACCACGGAATTATCAGTCCCGTCCCCCTTCATCGGTTCCCCCTTAAATCATACTCCCTAATCGAATGTTAATAACGAGGCAGCCTGTTTAACCATGATTTAAGGAGTCACTTGGCAATTCTTTCCACAACTCCCTGCATTATTGCGGAGAAACTTGCGTATAATACGTTATATCGTTCGTAAATGTGAGGACATTACGTTGTTGAATACGTGCGAATATCAGAGCTGAATATTGAGCTACACGTGTATGCTTGTGAAATGTATATTAAGAAATTAAGGAGTCTTTTTTCTAGTTTTAATATTCAATGATCGTTCGTATTTATTACGATGTACTATCTTAATACCTATAGTTATTAAATTTTGTATAAAATTATTTTTATCATAATGAGATTTATTAATCATTAACTTATAATCTAAGTTCAACCGCTATTGCTGGCACTTTATAATAATTTATAATTATTAATTTTAATTCGCTCGTTTAATTTTCATTAATTACAACAAAGAATTTTTTAATTAATTTTATTATTTTATTAGGTTATATTTAATTTTAATAAATTATATATAAAATATTAATTTAATTAATAATATTTTATACCATAATTATATTTATTTACTATTTTCAAATTGCACGTGTATTTTTTAATAATATGTCAACACTTTACAAGTTCTTTCTTACATTAGATACCATTTTTGAAACAAACGTGTATTTTGTAACACAATTATCACACAACGTGTAACATATCAATTAACAAATTAACAAGTCTACAGACTGTTCTTTTTTTACGTCAAGTGCCACTTTTAAAACGAAAAAGTTGCATAAATACAACAAGCAAACACTATTGAAACAAATGCAGGCTTTTACGCAGGTATGTGCAATAAATTGAAATACAACGTGACTGTGTTAAAAAAATTGCAAAGACCATTTAAATCACGCTTTTCATTCTCACGCTTCAAGCAGACCTTGATCTCTCGATGCTTACTCCTCTAAATCTTCCTCCTCCTTCTGAATAACTTCAGCACGATCGTCGCGAATATCTCATAAGGAATTCATCCGCTACGCAAAGATACTCGCAGAATCCCATATCGAGGTGGTAGCCGGACGGCCATTGTCGCCGCGTGATCGTCGATTCGCACGTAGTTACGGGAAAGGACCGAGGAATTCTTTGGAAACGGGATTCCAGCACGATCGAAGACGACAGAGGCACAGAGGCTGAGACCAGGAG